TTGACCATTGATGACTACATCAATGGTTTGACGCGAGCATAGTGCCACAGCTTGGGAGGGCGTATATGGGCAAGTCATCAATACCCGTGGCGTTTTGAATGGTAAAATCTTGATTTAAATTATGTTTTTTTTCAATAAAATCTCTAACTGTGACCATGAATAATTTCGCTCTTTGGTGTTTTAAGTTTGTGTGTTATAGGCAACCTTGTATTTCACAAATGTAGCGAGTTACCTACAGCACATTAAGCTCTATGTAGTAATAGGTTTGCTACCTACTCGTTTCATATTTCTCATTGAATAGTATAGTTTTTAGCTTTACCCCAACCTTCCGAAAAATGCTTGCGGCGTCGTGCTATGAGGTGTTTCATATTTTCTATGGTCTTATATTTAACAATGCACATATATACACGGTATATATAATATGCGAGTTATCTACTTCATATATCTCAGCTTAGGTCACACTCGAAGAAAAGACCCGAAAGCGAACCTTTGGGTAAAGCTGTTTGAATGGCAAAATTTGTTGAAAACTGCTAACATAGTCACGAATTAGTATTTCACCATTTGAGCTGATTGATCCAGTATTCGCAAAATTTATTTGTTATTCAGAATTCTCAACTCCGCGTTATAGAAAAATAGTCGGTCTTACTAATGCAGTGATATGCGGGTTAACTTGATCTAACTGATTGCAAACACGAAATTCCTGACAAGCCTTTTTCATTTTAGAAAGTACCGTTTACAAAGCGTGACGTGCGTTTTGTTTTGGAAATAATAAATTTCATAAATACGTGTTTAAAACTAAACTTTGAGGTTAAATTTTCCTACGACGTGATTGGTCAGAGTAGTCTGCACGTCAACATCAAGTATTTCGTTGAAACGTTTACTCCCCGCAGGCCACAGTAGAGATCTAAAAATAAAATATGTAACAAATATCGAAAGCACTTGTTTTTTATTATTCTATTCGGTTGCATACATTAATCACGTTCACGTTGGGACTTGTAAATCTCAAAGAGAAACTGATGTACATGAACGAAACTTATTATTGTTGTCGGTGCATGTGACTCAACCTGATACAAACATAAAAAAAAATTTATTCTACAAATTAGTCGAGGCCAAACGGGCACATTCAAACTAGTGTTGCATCAATGAGACCAAATAAGCGCGAAATCTGTGCTATGTGTATAATATGAAAAAATTTATGTCCTTCACAAAGCTATTACTAACTTTCTTCACATAACAACGCTGTAGTTACTGGATATAATTATATATACAGTGTCCAAAGGGTTACTACCTACCCTACCTGTTTGTATACCCGAGTACCATAGGATCATGTGATTTTTATGGGATTTATGGGAAATTATGCTGTTCGGTATCTAGATTACGAGAACAAATATTACATGGTCATTATTCAAATGTGCATCAATTTCACAGCCATACCTCACCCGCATTACAATTTACCAATACAATATTTTCTTGAGTATGAAAAGTATTCCTTGCTGACATGTGTTTTTTGAGATATCGCTTGCACGCTTGAACTTTGAAAAATGTAATTATTTTGTGCAGTGCGTCTGCAGGAAAAACGTAATCTCTTTTTTGATTGACAAGTACTTAAAAACTATGAGGTGATTTTTATTGAGCAATGTTTATATCGCGTGAGATTTGTGTTAGTTTCGAAGATAAAAAATTTCTCACAAACGTTGTTATTGACATTTATCGAATCGACTTAGTCAATAACAGTTAATCAGTGATATGAGCAAACAAGATGAACTGACTGGAGGGCATGATTATCGACTAATACTAAAAATCGAAAATAAACCAATCTTCTTAGTCAGAAACCAAACTCACCAAACGAAATTCCGGATTATCGTGATTATTTGCTTTTCACTCACAATCGACTTCATTCTTTCAATAGTTAATTGCTGTTTCTGGTTTAGTTAACATGAAATCATATGTCAATAGAAAAAATGACAGTTTTTTCTAAGTTTTAACATAAGTTGCTTCAATTTGAATCAGTTCGTGTGACTCGTTCGTGTGCTCGTGCGCGCTGACGTCGCTCGGAATTGCAACAAAGTAATCCAAATAGAATGTGATTTAAAACCTAAACTTTGTGCGAGAAATTCGAAAAAGATAGGTTTTTGACCAATTTCATATAATTATGTTGAAGAAAACTAGTTGGCAATACACTGACCATGTTCTATTACAAATTGCTTTTTCTTGCTTTGGTTTATTTTTTTATTTCTGATTGCAGATGCCGGTTTTTGTTAAAATGTGTTTGTTTAAACGTGTTTTCAAAAATAACTCATAAGCAATTCTATGATCTTAAAAGACAAAAACTGTTAATTTTACATATATTAATTATTTCTGGTTCCATTTGACGAGATAGCACATACATAAATAACATGGCAAGACTAGTAAATGTCGAACATTTTTATACAGTAATGTTTTCTTCGCATTAGTTTTGTTTTACGTTTTGTAGAATAAGTAACAATGGCCGTGGTTGACAATCTCAACATTGATAAGCATATTTAGAAAATCAGTCATAAACTATAACAAAGTTAATTATCTAAGACAAATTGCAATCGGAAAAAAGGTGATAAAAAACAAGTAAATGAAAAAAAAAACAGTTCTTTCAATTTATTTTTATCCGACAAGGGTTGATCGACAGCAAATCACAATTTAGAATTATCTGCTGTAAACAACAAACGACTGGGAGGGAAGTTAGCAAGTTAAATGAATATTATTTAATTTAAACACATATGAAAATACTGTCTCCGCCAATAGATTGAATACACTTAGTTATTACACAGCAATGAAATAGCATTAAAATTTGTAAACTAGCTTAATACATTTCCACTATACTCATTGACATGCAATCGTTATTAAGCTATTTTTCATAGTACCTCTCGCATACACACGTACGATGAAAAAAAATTGATATTAAAAATGCAAAAATCTATCAAGATGTTGTGAAAATGTTGCAAAAGTCTTTCTGTTACGTGATTTTTTAGTTATGTAAACCGGCTAGTTTAGAATGTGGTAATATACTCGTTGATAAGATTTAATACGTTTTAGGAGAAAATGGGATTAACAGACTGCAGGGCATGATTACCTTCTTAATTCCGCAAAAAAACAACTAAATCACGATTTTTATTTTTTGTATATTTTATACCATGTTTGTTAAAAGTACAAATATACAGATACAATCAGCATCAGCATGTTTGATCAAAAAGAAGTCTATGGTAATTATACAAGCACAGCTTGAACACATAGAAATATAACTTCCAATGTTGCAAAAATTACAAATATAATGTAATATTGCAAATTGATTTGTTTTGTCATATTGCCACATAAAAGCACCACAAGCCTTCATTTTTTCCTGTGTAATATTAGTGTTACTTATTTCTGTTGTCTAATTGCTGGGAATCCATCCAAATTTTCTTGTTCAATTTCAAAAGAAATATTATTAGATTTTAATAAAACATTTTCCTCCAACCCCGCCCATATTTCATTATATATTAATATCGGATCTAATGAAGTTCGGGAAATAAAGCAGTAATTAGAGTTTCGAGTTATCAATACGAATAGTTAACATACTATCATAATAGTTGACCCACTTGAGCTCTAAAATTAGTACAAACTCTAGCAGGATTTGTGTAAGATCTGTTGTACCGGTTTTTGTCCGGACACGGAATAATATATAATTATTCGGTTTAGTGCAAAGTATTATTACACGTGAACTATATATGGATAGCGTTTTTATCTGAACTTTAACAAAAAAAAACGTACATAGTCAAGTTACTTTTGTTTAAACAAGTTCCCCGGCAAAATATTCACAGTCTTATGAAAAATCACTTCTCGTCTATAACTGGTGTAAACCGATAATATATTTAAATTAATTATTTATTTAGCTTCTTTTCTAAAATAAAGGAACTTGTTGTTCTTAAAGTTGTGAATCCCATCGCTAAAAATATCGTTTTAAAATTTATACTTTTTAAACTCGTGCGCATACCATTACTAGTTTCTCTTTTTTCATCGAGCGGTTTACATTTTTGATTATAGGCTTCAGTTTTTGTCAGCGACGCATCGATCCCAGATATGTTTTTGTAATAAAAACTTATACCCATTTTTTCGATCTCATGGGGCAGAAACTGTTAATTGACACATATAGGTAGATAATGCAGGCTCTGATTGACGAGACATAATGCCAGAACATGATAAATTAGATGAGACTGGTAGCATTTTAAATAAGAATGTTAGTTTAGCATTAGTTTTCAAATTAGTTTTGTCACCTCTCTGCGGACCTATAGTAACCTTTCCGCGAACCGGCGATGGGCCGCGGCCCGATGGTTGCCGACCACTGATTTACAGTATCTACAATTTCTAATTTTAAAACATATTAATTTATTCAATAATACAATTTTTCCTTTTTTCCAAATACATATCTTATCAATACGACGCGCTCTGTACACCAACCGAAAACAATATTATTAAGGACTACTAATTCAATCACGATCTTGAAAAACACCAAAAATATTTTCATTTATGTATGTTTTTTATTATCAGTGAATGGGTAACTTTCGAATTTCAAATATACTCATGCAATCAATACAATGATATTCATACAAGCGAAACTTTTATTTTGAAATACATAGTAAAATATTGTAGCACTTACTATCCCCTTACATTTTATAAGTTGGAGCATGTTACAGACCATTCTTTTGCCCTTTATTACCTTATATTATACATGGTGCTTATTTGTGTTGTCATACTGATCAAAAGTGTCGCGATAGGCTGTGTGCAATATTATTTGGAAATATCACAATTTTGAAGTTACAAAACATTGGAATGAATACTTATGCAAAATATTTGCATAATACACCAGAAAGTTTTTCCATTCGATGAAATAAAAATCTAGAAATTACATATTTGCGCATAAAAGAATGACGTTAAAGAAAAAATTGTGGTAAAATTAAGTGACGATCATTTGCATAAAAAGCGTCGCACAGAAGTCTGAGATCAAATCGCCGACTTGTTGGCGAAGGAAAATCATACTAGTAGAGAATGAAGATCCTATGGTTGACAATCATCCTCGGATTGTTGGCTGTAACGCAGGCGTCTGATTCTGGGCCGGATAATCCGCCCGCAATAGGGGAGGATGGTGGAGCAGATGATGCTGGTCAAGACGATGCAGAAGGGGGAGATACTGATTCTAATGGTCAAGCGGTTTATTCTAGTGTGAAGGCTCCCTCCGGGGGCGAAGCAGCGAAGGATTCGCCAGGCGCAAAAAGTTTCAGAGTCAGAGGAAAAAGACCACCTTTGTGTCCTGATGACAGGTAATATTATCATAACGTTATTGGGTGCTCCCATTACTGATATTATGCTGATATTGTTGCTGATGCTGTGGGCTTTTAAATATATATATATATATATATATATATATATGTGCAGCAAATCAATGTGCTCTTTGTTGTCACCATTAAAGTAACTTTTGACAGAGATAATCGCAGACAATACAATATCGCATTAGGTATTATTCGAAATCCAATCAATAAGTAGAAATACTATTCTCATTTGTCTCACACTCACTTATCTCTACAGATTAATTTTATAAGTTGCATAGATATATTTATGACACATTTTTTCTTTCAGAAAAAATCTATATATACATCTGTTCATCGTTTTTACCCTATATTGTATCCTAATAACAAAATTATTGAATTATTACTATAATATATTTTTTTTTCAGATACGTGAAATGGCAACCGTTTTGTCCCAAACCAGAAAAGAAGTGTTATTACCGATTTTGTCTGTACAAGGCCAAGTGTGCTTACTATAAGGGATTTTACTTTTACCTTTATAGACCACTTTATTTCTGGGGATATCCGTGCCAGTTAGTACAATCTTATTATTATTATTCGTATATTGTTTTGTTAAAATAGAAGCATGACCTATAAAAGTTTATTACCTTCGTATGCGTAAATTGCAACATTATCAATCTATCGTGAGCCGCTGAAAAAAGGACAAACAATCTGTTCATTGTATGTGTGAAATAATTATATGCGTAGAATAATATATCTGATTAATATATTTGAATATTGCAGGAGACAAGGCTCACCATGCAAGAATGACGTTTATGGTGGATATCAGTATAATTGTTACTGTAGGACGTATTGGAAATGGGTAGAAAGAAGACGATGGTTTTATCAGGATATTTGTGGGAAAACAACCTACTATCTGAAATACGTTTACATCAGGGTGAGTTGATTAAACCATTCTATGAGTACACTTGACACAATATATACCGGTGTCCAAATTCTTGTGTCCTAGAGTGAATATCTGTAGTAGTATTCAATTTTACATATGAAATTACCAAATACTATCCGATATAATTAATTTTATTTGATTCTGATATATTACATTAAATATAGTTACGCAAAATGCAAAATGCATAAATTTAGCGCCAAATTACTTATTTTTTAATAGGTTCCGTGGGGATGCTATTGCCAAGGATCCAAATCCTACTACATTCCGCCATACAAGCCTGGGCATGGTGGGCCTCGCGACGATGGACCCTGGTAATCGAACCTTGGACAGTGCGGCAAGATGGAAGAAAATGAGATATCCTGCATTCTTGTTTAAGAAATGTATTTGGAACCGCAATTTAATAAATTTGTCAAGCATAATATTTGTGTTTTTATTGAATCCTCATCGAAGTTTGTAGATTTACGAACATGTGTTGTTTAGAGACTTATTCTGGAATGGGTGTATTTTGGAAAACGAGCATTTAGGAAAGAATACGACGCACCCTGCACATATAGCAAAAATAATTATTTTTTATGAATATTAGATAAAAAGAAAAAAGTACCAATGCATCCTTAAATAACGACCCTTTAATATAAATTGGACTCAAAAAGTCGGATATCACATGTGTCCTCTTTTGTACCATGGAGCGTAAATTCGAATTTATGAGCGTTCTGATAAAATCTCAGTTAACAGAATGGTGCGCATCATTACATTACTAACTATTGAATAAAAATTAAAAATCGTCAAGAAGTGACTTGCAATTTGACAATGAAATTTGGTCATGAGAGTGGCGATAAGAAAATACTGTCCCCGACACGCATTCACATACAATCTCGATATTAAGCCATTTTTTTTTATTGGTAATTCTTTAGTATATACATACGACCAAAAAATATGATGCTAAGAATACCAAAATTGTAATTTTCAGTGGTTACGGATTGCATTTTTCGCTAGAAGGTTGTTACTTTTATTATTTTCTCAAAAATCATTGTGGGCCTTATGGGATACTTTTTCAATTAGCGATGACGTCACTAAAAATTTCGCAACTTACGGTAGTTACGTTTGCGTTGGTCGTGAAGTTTGTGGTACCTTTTAGCTTCTTGTCCATATATTTGCGCATCACTCAATAACGTATATGTATTTCAATTTAATAAAAGTCGTAAGAAATTGCCCGTCAACGATCAAGGGGGTGAATTTGAGAACTTTGCCGTGGATGCCATTTTACGTGGATCGGCCAATGATTTCGCAGGATTTGAATTATTTGAATCACGATCTTGAAAAAAAATTCATGTATGTTTTATGTTATCGATAATTGATTAACTTTTGAATTTCAAATACAATCGATATTCATGTTTATCAAAAATGCAGTTTATGATATTTATACAAGCAAAACATTTAATTGAAATGCATAGTAAAATATTGTCGCACCCACCATCCTCTTACATTTTATATATCAGATCATACTACAGGCCTTTTTGTTGCGCTTTATTATATACATACATGGTGCTTATTTGTGTTGTCATACTGATCAGAAATGTCACGATAGGCAGAGTACAATAATATTTGGAATGATAACAATTTTAAATGTTACAAACAATTGGATAATGTATGCAAAATATTTGCAGAATACACCAGAAAGTTTTTCCATGCGTTGAAATAACAAACTTGAAAGTTAATACTTGCGCTTAAAGCTGGTCAAGATGATGGAATAGGTGGAGATACTTCTGGGCTGGATGATCCGCCAGAAGGTGACAGCGAAGATGGAGAAGATAAAGCTGGTCAAGACGATGGAATATGGGGAGATACTGATTCTACTGGTAGAACGTCTTTATTTGCTGAGATAGTGTTGGCTCCTATGGGCGACGCAAAAGCGTTGTTGTTTACAGATACGTGATATGGCAACAGTTTTGTCCCGCACCACAAAAAAGTGTCTGTACCAATTTTGTCTGTACAAGGCCGCGTGTGCTTACTATAAAAGATTTTATTTTCACATTTAGAGACCTCTTTATTTCTGGGGATATACGTGCGAGTTAGTACAATTTTATCATTATTATTGTTTGTATATCGTTTGTATATAGATATAACGCATAATGTATAAATTATCATTACCATCGTATTCGTAGTAAATTGCAACATTATCAATCTATCGTTAGCCGCTGACAAATGACAAATAATCTGTTCATTCTATATGTGTGAAATAATATATCTGAATATTGCAGGAAACAAAGCTTAAAATGCAAGGATGGCGATTATGCCGGATATCGGTATGATTGTTACTGCAGTACGTATTGGAGATGGGTTAAAAGAAGACGATGGTTTAATTTTATTCGTTCCTGATATATTACATTAAATATAGTAACTTTAAACGCCAAATGCCCAAATTTAGGCCAAATTATTTATTTTACAATAGGTTCCGTAGGGATGCAATGGCTCAAGGATCCAGAAGCATAATAATATCGACAATCATACATCGTCCTCCACCATATATATACTCCCGATCCGTACGATCCTTGCGATTCCGGAGATACCAGGAGCGATACCAGGAGCCCCCATGGGATTAATCGCAAGGTCGACAGTACGTCAAGGTGAAGGAAAATGATATATCCTGCATTCTTGTTTAAGAAATGTGATTTAGAATCACATTCTAATAAATTTTTAAACCTTCATCGAAGTTTGTAAGTTTACGAACTTGTGTTGTTTTGGGACACATTTGGGAATGGGCGTATTTCGGAAATCGAACATCCACAGAAGAGATATTTGACAGAATTTTTAGCTTTGCACCCAATTTTATCGAGTAATCAATTGATGCAAAAGTACACATGGCTACTTTAGATTTCAGGATACGTTTAAAAGTAAAATAATAATGTTTTGAATAAGATCCTTTTGCCTTTGGTGGCGTCAGTTATAAAAGTATAGAGTTACCCAAAAATGAAACTCAGGCCATTTGAAACATAATGTATGGGTTTCGTTTTTTGTGGGCTACAACATTAATTTGTACAGGTAACCTTTGTTCTCGATTGCAAAATGTCGTTCGTTACTTGTATTATATCCGCTCCTGTACCTTATACATCTTCTACCTATTTGCTAATCACCATCAAAAGCGCAAGTATTCAAAATGTTTTAAGTGAACCATATTGTTCGGATTATCCAATTCCATATTAATTTCATGACGATAAAATGAATTTAATGTTAAAAGATCGTAATCAACTTCAATCAAACTTCATGAATTTTTTTTTTTAATTATTGAACAATAAATAAAAATTAGAATAAATGATATTTACTTACGCTAGTGCTGTAATAGGTTTGGTCGAGTGACTTTAAGAATGAAACTGCTATAAAATCGAAAATTTTATCCAAAAAACGTCTGTGATTGGGATTTAAAGTGAGTAAGTGACTCATTTACGAATTGCCAAAATTCATCACAATAAATCCCCTAGTTATTTTAAAATCTTGAATTCAAACTCAAGTTTATTTCATTCTTACAAATCTAATCTCAATGACTACTGAAAGGCTCTATACCAATGGTTCTCAAACTTTTTTAGCCCCAGAGCCAAATTTCAAACCTTAAAGTGGTGAAGAGCCGCACACAAACAACGCAAGGTAAAATAGCAAAAAAATTTAAGCCCGTATTTAAAATACCAAGTCATCGTAACAACAACACACGTAACAACTAGGGCTAGGCAAAATATCCGAATACCGAATCGAATGATAAAATATTCGAATGGCATTTTACTATTCGATTATCCAGTACCAAGTGACTAGTGCCGCTTTGCCTGGACATCGAACTCGCGCATCTCCATTTTAATCGTGAATTGTGCGAGATTTCCCCGCGGCGCTAGCTACCAGAAAAGAAGCGACAAATTTGAAAAGTCGTTGTCTTTGCGTTAAGGTGTTATATGCTTTTCTTTGCACTTAGCGTATCGTTTCAATTCAAAAAACGTACCGACAGTTCCGTAAATTTAGAAACGTCAAACCAGATTAGGGATTAGGTCGGGGGAAGTCGGACCCACTAATAAGTTGTTTTGAATAACTCTTCACATAATGTCGCAGCTGCATTCGTTTTACGTTTGATTTATGCACCCACCCTCCAGTTATCTTTCCACATTTGCACATTGTTGCCATAGCAACGAATCGGAATTTACGCCCGATTTTCAGCTAAAAAAATACCGGGATAAGTTAGACATTTTGTGGGCAAGACGGACACACACCAAAAAAGGCTTGATGGTGTCTAAGATTTCGGTCATAAGACTTCAGTCAACGCCTAGATGCCCCAGGATTATGTCTCTTGAATTTTTTTTAAACAGATCACTTTTCTTGCATATTAAAAAGTATGTCCGTCTTACCCCATAAAGGACATTACAGGGCAATTTTCAAAATAGTTTAGACAGTTTTAGGAAAACTAGAAATTTAAAATTTAGTTTGCACTTTTTCAACTGCAAGTTTTATATCTTCTTTACACGGACTACCTCTAGAAGTATTTATTTTGTAATTTCTTGGCATAACCTTTGGCGTATTTTTTTTATACGCATATGAAAAAAAAAATTGGACGGGGTAAGATGAAATTTTACGCCGGACCTAACTTCTAGGAAAACCATTATAAATATGGCGATGAGTGTGCATTTGATCTTTGTTGTAAAAGGGTACTTGGTACCAAAAAATAATTATTCACAAGTTTCGCCCGTTGACATTCCCAACAGACTATATTGAAAAAATCCTCCCCCCTCTCCCCTCACACTTCACCCTGCCTCTTAAGTGACCCTGCCAACCCAAAAAATGAGTACTGGCAGTCTGCTAAAGGATTTATTCAATCTAGTGCAACTACTTTCAACAAATAAACAAAATAGAACCGAGACTCGCAGACTTCGGCTAAAATTATTCTTCATTACCATGGGACTCTATTATTTGACGTTTTAATAAATTTCCCAGATTTTGAACTCCATGTCATTAGCCATTTTTTGCATGAGCCGAAAATGAAATTGATTAAAATTAAATGTTAAAATGACTTTTTGGCGTTTCATTGCGAAAAAGGCTTTAAATTTTAGGTCGTCAGAGAACTCGACTAATCCTCTATTAGGCACAAAGGCCTAGAAATGCCTTTATTACCAATTTAATGCTATTTTAAATCAAGATTCTGGATTCACGGAATCGCAGATTTGCGAGGTTCATCTATCTAAAACTTAAATAACACGGATACCATAGAACTCAAGTATCGTTTAAATAAATATCTGCATCTCGGTTACAATTCACTTTAAACGGTAATTTACGGTAATTTACAAGCATCAAAGCTCAATCAAAGCCAAGGTAGAGGATTAAACTCAGAATAAAATTATTTCGGGTTTGAAATCAGTCCTCAATGTTTTCAACAGCTGTCGCTGATGTG